AAAGGGACGAGAAAAATGTTATCAAAAAGGAATGATATCTTCACAGTATGGAGATAAAAATAGTATCTTCACTGCACGTAATGAAGATATGATTTTTTAGTAAAAGGAAAAATCCTGGTATTTCACTGGTGTTTATATAATAAATGGTGTTAATGCATGTCAAAATATATTATTACACCTATTTTAAGATCTGTTGATGATATATACTATTCTTGTTATCTCTGTTTAATGTCTACTTTTTAGATTCTCCATAATTTATTATTAATTAACAACAACATGCAATTTGATGTTTCATTATCTGTTGATCTTACATGTTTATTTTTGCTAAAAACCGACACTATTTGGTTATCGCTGTGTTTTTACATCCATTGCTAAACACAATGAAGGTCGGTGCAGTTAATTAAATTGTTTGGGCAAAATGTTCTCACAATAATTTGTGTAGTACACGTTAAGTAATTGCACGAAAAAAAAATCATGTAAATTCATGATTCATCGATCATTTGAAAATTTGAACTAATGGAAAAGTGATCTGAAGCCCTATAGACTGCATTCTGAAGACAAAGACATAATTGAGCTCCTTTAAAAAACAGAAGTTTACTATTCTAATGCAACCCGCAAATACAATGAGGACAATGGCGACGATTATTACATCTCAAAAAAATCAAAATCGTCAGTACAATTGGCGAAAATGGATAACACGAAACACGAATCTTTGAAGAACGCATCTTTGAACTTTATGAAAGCATCTTGATCAAGAAATGTTGCGATAGTATTTAAAACCTTGGTAATAACACATGACCATTTAGGTATTGGATGATTTACTACATTATGCTTTCCTAGAGCTTACAATGGATTTATATGGTCAGTGGTTGGTAACAGTGTACAATGCAATTTCTACTCACCAATTTCGTATTTTGTTGCAGCTATTTTAGCTGTAACCCGGCGTTTCCTAACAGGCTTTTTTTTGTTCGATTGTTTACCACGCGTTTGCGATCCTGGTTTGTCTGTGCTGTTGTTGGGTTTCGAACTTGCTCCACATCTTCGTCTTCGCAATCCTCAGCTATAAATGCTTCGTCTTCGATTTCTTTCCCTTTTTGATCACAATTATCATTCACAGTGCTCGAATCAAGCAAATTAAACTGGTCTTTAGCCATGGCAGCCGCGTTTTCAGCTAAATCATGATTGCAATCGTCCATAGTTACCGATTGCAATGGCGTACGAGACGACAGCGGAATCTCCATGGCAAAATTAATTGTCTTTGCCCGCAGACGAGATGTCCAAATGTATCCTTTTCGCTAATTAACACATTGTGGTGCTAAAAGTACCAATTTGTCA